TATATGATTCTTTCAGCCTCTGTAACAAGCCTACAATATGATATATGACATAATATCTCTACCATGAGAACAAATGATAAAAGCAATATAAATGGCCACTATCCACTAAAATACAACCATAATTTTCTCTAAATTTACATTTATGTAGTAGCCTTTACCTTTAAGGTAAGAGATCACATGTAAGCGATTCACCAACACAAATTTTCACCAAGGGGAGCTAAAAAAAATTACCTGAAAATAGTATATATTTTTTTAATTAAACACATGTAAATGCTTTTAGGAGGGCCATTTTCTCTAGCCATTTTCAAAAGGCAAATCTGCCACTCTGAGTTCACCTGAAAAACCTCTCTCACAGGAAACTGTGAGGGCACTTGATTTATGAAAAGAGTCTATTGTCTTGTAGTTATGTGAGGAACTATTCAGGAAAATGGAGGACAATATGATTGAAGACATGTCATACTCAGTTGAAGTCAGTTACATGGAGATCTACTGTGAACGTGTTAGAGATTTACTTAATCCAAAAAATCAAAAAAATTTACGAGTTCGGGAACATCCGCTGCTCGGTCCCTATGTAGAGGATCTCTCCAAACTAGCTGTGACGTCGTATAATGATATACAAGATCTGATGGATGAAGGCAACAAAGCAAGGTAAGATATTAAAAAATAAACGACTTGTTACGTGAGGTAGGAGTATAAATTACAGGTACATTACGAACATATGTATTATGTAATTTATTGAATTCAAACTCAAAATTACGGCAAAACATTTTGCTACTGTAAGCAGATATCCATTTCACCAAACCACAGTAACCGACCCAAAAAAACTGCTCAAAATAGCAAGTAATAAGCATGAACTTCTAGTGACTAGATTGACATGCTAAGTGGAATTTTTTTTTCTTTGAACAATATGCTGAATATATATAAATAAATACAAATAGAGCCGAGTCTATCGTGGTCAGAATAATTTACTTGGTTCAATCCAGCTGTAACCCAAGTTTATGCTCATTATCGGTATTAACAGACATCTGAGTGGAAGTAATGTAGATTATAGGCACACTATAAACACATAGACTAAGAGTATTTCTACACTGTACAATGCAAACATATCCCCACTGTAAGAAGACTCATACCTCACTAAATCACAACTTATTTTTCAGAACGGTTGCAGCGACAAATATGAACGAAACCAGCAGTAGGTCACATGCTGTTTTTACTATTGTATTTACACAACGAAGATATGACAGAGAAACTGACTTATCCACTGAAAAAGTCAGTAAGATTAGTTTAGTTGATCTTGCGGGAAGTGAGCGGGCTGATTCCACTGGTGCTAAAGGGATGAGATTAAAGGTTAGTGTCTCGACTTATACTTTTATTTGACCTTACCTTATAGATAATGAAATTTATCATTATTAATTTTTGCCTAATTTTTCTTAAACTTAGTTATACCAGAGGTACATTACTTGGGGTTTGGAACTACGGTGACATGATACCAAGATCCCGTTTCAATCTCGCTCTCGCATAAGCGTTCCAACTCAGAAAAATGCGAATGTGCATGCCCGAGGTAACTAGGATACTGAGATGTCCAGGTGGATCAAAATAGCTGCTCACGATATGACAGATTATGATAACTATATTTTCTGTACATTTTCGATGTATTACATTTTTTCACTATGAATGTGGTAATACATGTTTTATTGTTTTATTACAAACTGCCTATGTCATGTCAGAAGGTCGTAGCACCAGTCTCGCTATCTACGAGATGAGACTTGAATGGGATCTTGACATGATGTCACCATTCAGTACTATGCGCGTTGCAAACCCCAAGTAATGTACCTCTGATTATACATATATTATCAATAAGTGTAATTTCTTGAAAAATTGTTATGTTTCATACTTTGTAAGTTTGATAGAATGGATGTAGTTGTGTCCATCTTTTTTCACTGAATTAGAGCAGCATGTCAAACAATTGGTAAAATTATGTTTTGTGCTTGGTCTTCGTTGAAGTTTTCTGTAACAACAAAAAAATAGTTATTCTGTTAACATTGCTTGTTTATCACGTTTGAGCATTGAGCCTAAGGAAAATCTGCTCTAGGGTCTATGAATGCAGTTTGTGCTGTGAAATCATTAATTAATATTCACTGGGTTTTAATTTTGCTATTTTTCACTGATAAGTCAAATTCGCTAAATTGAATCTACATGAACATGTAAAATAAAAATACATGTAAAACTTGTTTTGACCAATGCATGAAATTGAAATACAGTGAATATGCTTAAAACATCAAAATAGTGAAATTAAATGTCAGTGAAAATAAATAGTTTTATAGTATTTTGTGTAGCATATACACACTGTAGGTAAAGACCAACCAAAAAACAGAAAAAAAAACTGTTTGTGGGTAATTAAAAGTACATTGTAGTTTACCTTATATTTTTTGTATCTACAGGAAGGTGCCAACATTAACAAGTCTCTTACAACTCTTGGTAAAGTTATATCTGCATTAGCTGAAATAGTAAGTAGTACTTTTCAATATAATGGGTGAAGGAAAACAACAAAAACATTCTGTATGATAGTGTTTGAATCAACATCACTGATGTTGTGCAAGGATGTGTGATATTCCTGTTATAAGAATGCAATTTTTACTTGCTTGAGACATGAGTACAATTATAGAGTTTTGGCATAGTGTGGAGTCAGAATCGTTGTCAATTTTTTTCAGTCATTTGTTTCCAAGCTAATTTTGCAAATATGTGATATAATTTCACCATAGACAAATATTTGAAGAAAATGAAGAAAATTACATTAGCTTCAATTTAGTCAGACTCCATAAGGCTCTGCTGAATAAACAAAATTAATATACGTCTAGCCATCATAGATTTACTACTGTGAAATCAGTAATCCATCACGTCAACTAGACAGGCACAATATGCATACATTGTACGTTGTATTATAGTTTTTTTTTCTTTCCAATATATTGGTAGTATGATTGCTATGAATTGTGACTGATAATAAATTCAAGCTAAATAAGTTTTATTTATAGTTCTTGGAAACGAATGGATGTTAAGAGTTAGAAAGTCACAAGACTGTGTCACCATGTCTACTGTTTCAAGTATATCAGTCGATGCGATGATAGGAGAGAATGGAACACTATTTGACTAATTTTGCAACATTCTTGCTCTTAACAAAATCTTGTCTTTTGAGAAACTGTAGAACAAGTGTGATCAAACTCCCAGGTGATTGGCAGTGTACTGATTGTGTAGAAGCTGTTTGTTGTGTGTGCATCAGAATTGGAACAATATTCCACGAATATGCAGACGAAAATTGAAATTATATGTGGAAACTCTCATTTTCCCCAGTACCTTAGATGCGACTTTTGTGCAAAATTCATTCATGGAACAATATTGCATCAAATCAAAAAGAAAGCTCATTTTAGAATTAAGACATAATAAAAGGAAAGCATATTTTACAATAATTATTTTTTCTCCATTTGAACTTACCCTTTCTAATAAAAACAAGGTGCATTACAAGGTATATTACATAAATTCTATCACAGAAATAAGAAGACTACAAATTTAGATAATCCCAAAGCTTTAAAATAAAGCTGGTCATTTCACTAAACCATGCATATCTAAAAAGGTCACACTTACACTTGAATGAATTAATGATTTATTTGATTGATTTGGTTTTCATCTCTCCATTAACTTATTTGTTTTCTTCGCTCACATTCACATTCTTTTTTCTACTGCACGGTTTATTCATAGCTTCTTTCTTTGTACATCTTGCAACTCTTTTTCTTTTTTACTGACATCTTTATAGAGTTCATTGGATAAGATTGGGAAGGGCAGTGTAAGTGTAAAGCATCACACTCTTAATGCACCATTTTACTACGTCAGTCTCTTGTGAATGTATTGTGTATTTGAATCAAAAGAATTTTGTTCGTTTTATCTTGAGTGGTACATTGTTATCTTCTCGCACTCGGTTTAAATTATTCTTTTCATACGTTTATGAGCAATTTATATACCTTGTGTGCAATATTTTATGCTGCTCACTCACCAGATGAGAAAATGCTAATAACATGGTGCATCTGTCACAGACTGAATCACGATGCATCATGGGAAGCCAACATAAGGACCTCCCTTTTGTCTATTTCTGATGTATCCTTGGAAGCCAACATAAGGAACTCCCTATGTCTTTTTATGATGCATCATGGGAAGCCAACATAAGGAACTCCCTATGTCTATTTCTGATACATCATGGGAATCCAACATTAGGGACTCCCTATAGTATTTATTTCGGATTTAATTACCATAATACAGAGCTTGAACTTTGATATTCGAAAGGCTTTGAAAATTTCTGAACTATCTTTAAATTTAAATTTAATTTAATTGTGATGAGAACATAACCTAAATCAAGACAGTCAGTGGCCATTGAAGCAGTGGTCTTTATCGCCTCATGAAATTCAGGCCCGGATATCATATCAGAAAAATACCTTTTACTACCCAAAATTACCGGGCAATTTCGAAAGGCACCAAGGCATTGATCAATGTGACCGCCATTAATTTTGAGTCATGTTATACAATATCCTGATGGAGGTAAACTATTTTTTAGTCACAGTTGACAACAATGTACCACTGAACATAATCTTGACAACAACTCTTAAGCTTGCTGCATACCTTGCGATATTTCTGCAATCTGTTTGAAACCCAATTTCATGGTTGAATCGTACAACTAAAAAACTACTTGTATGCATTTAGCACATGCTGATTTTGTAATATCCATGTTAGTGTATAGCTCTAGGGATTCTTTTGTTGTTTATCTGATCGTAAGGTGTGTGGCCAGCTTGTTGTCTCACACTATGACATTCACAGCACTAAGTTGAAATCTCTTATGCATACGTGTGTCAATCACTATAATTAATTTTATGCATGTTAATTAACAATTGTACAGATAACAGTTATTAATATGAATCAAGTTTGTAGTATTGTCTTTATATATATTTATTATTGTCAGCTTTGTATATTGTCTATGCAATCGTATCTGTATCGGTGTTCTAATTGGGGGGAGGGGAGACTAAAAGGGTGTACATCCTGGTACTTTCTGGAGGTGGCAATTCACTGTCAACCATACTCTCTCAATTATTGCTAGCCCAAAATGCAAGGATTTGTTAGTATTGAAAAAACAATGTAAATATTTACCTATTATCCTCAAAGTATACCAGGGTGTCTGATCTTTAGTAGTCATGCAGTCTATTGGCCATACATTCTTAGAAATGGGTCCAGTATCGAGGAAAGAATATCCATGACATTTGTATAGAGCATTTGTTTTACCATCATTGCGTAATCAATTGTTCAGTGAATGTGGTCACTACATAGCTGTATTGGACATTCTTTGTATCTTCAACACTACAGTCATGACTCTGTTCAATAAATGAAGTCAGAACACTGAAATTCTGTTATTGGTAACTAGTAATATCAGTTCAGTTGTATGATAATATATTTATATACTCTGAGTCTCCATGTATAATTTGCCTAAAACATATTTTCCAAATTTTTCAAAAAAATATGGATTTACTGATGATACACATGAAAAGAAATATTTCGTTACATTAATCGGCCAAGATCAATCAGTCAACATGCTGACAGGAATAAATAGAATCATTTCGTTAGATGGAAAGTAAAGTTTTCTGAAGAGCAATAAAAAAGTACCAGGATATGTTGATAGGAGGGTCCCCTACGCTACACATATGTAAGGTGTCTATTTACTGTGTATGAAATTAGCATTGTTGATGTACTGAAAATCACTTAATTTTTGCAGCTAGAAATTCTTATGATTTGGTAATTTTATGGCATTGCACAAATACAAAATTTTAGAAACAATGCTGTCAACACATTGTGCTATATGACATCGGGGGAAAATGTTGACTGCTAAACTGTCTCATGGTTTTTACTGACTTGTGAATTTTACACAAATTTATTTCTTGCAAAATTAGAGTGACTTTACAGTACATTAATGGTTGGGTGTATTTGTGTTTGTTAGATTTGATGGTCTTGGCCATCCCTTCTCAAATAATCATGTATATGGATGTAACTGTATTTCTTGTACTTATTTTGTAGTCTAGTAAACGGAAAAGGAAGACAGATTTTATTCCATTCAGAGATTCTGTTTTAACCTGGTTGTTAAGAGAGAATCTTGGAGGTAACTCTAAAACTGCCATGATAGCAGCGTTAAGTCCTGCAGATATCAATTATGATGAAACACTTGGCACATTGAGGTGAGTAGATCAGGGTTAGGTGAGGGGTTGGTGTGTGTAATGATAGCAGTGTTAAGTCCTGCAGATATCAATTATGATGAAACACTTGGCACATTGAGGTGAGCAGATCAGGGTTAGGTGAGGGGGTTGGTGTGTCTAATGATAGCAGTGTTAAGTCCTGCAAATATCAATTATGATGAAACACTTGGCACATTGAGGTGAGTAGATCAGGGTTAGTGAGGGGGTTGGTGTGTGTAATGAAGCAGTGTTAAGTCCTGCAGATATCAATTATGATGAAACACTTGGCACATTAAGGTGAGTAGATCAGGGTTAGATGAGGGGGTCTGTGTGTGGAATGATAGCAGCGTTAAGTCCTGCAGATCAGGGTTAGGTGAGGGGTTGGTGTGTGTAATGATAGCAGAGTTAAGTCCTGCAAATATCAATTATGATGAAACACTTGGCACATTGAGGTGAGTAGATCAGGGTTAGATGAGGGGGTTGGTGTGTGGAATGATAGCAGTGTTAAGTCCTGCAGATATCAATTATGATGAAAGACTTGGCACATTGAGGTGAGTAGATCAGGGTTAGATGAGGGGGTTGGTGTGTGGAATGATAGCAGTGTTAAGTCCTGCAGATATCAATTATGATGAAAGACTTGGCACATTGAGGTGAGTAGATCAGGGTTAGGTGAGGGGGTTGGTGTGTGTAATGAGAGCAGCGTTAAGTCCTGCAAATATCAATTATGATGAAACACTTGGCACATTGAGGTGAGTAGATCAGGGTTAGGTGAGGGGTTGGTGTGTGTAATGATAGCAGCGATGAGTCCTGCAGATCAGGGTTAGGTGAGGGGGTTGGTGTGTGGAATGATAGCAGCGATGAGTCCAGCAGATCAGGGTTAAATGAGGGGTTTGTGTGTGGAATGATAGCAGTGTTAAGTCCTGCAGATATCAATTATGATGAAACACTTGGCACATTGAGGTGAGTAGATCAGAGTTAGGTGAGGGGGTTGGTGTGTGTAATGATAGCAGAGTTAAGTCCTGCAAATATCAATTATGATGAAACACTTGGCACATTGAGGTGAGTAGATCAGGGTTAGATGAGGGGTCTGTATGTGTAATGAGAGCAGCGTTGAGTCCTGCAGATCAGGGTTAGGTGAGGGGGTTGGTGTGTGGAATGATAGCAGCGTTGAGTCCTGCAGATCAGGGTTAGGTTAGGGGGTTGGTGTGTGTAATGACAGCAGAGTTAAGTCCTGCAGATATCAATTACGATGAAAGACTTGGCCTCAAGATGTCATTATGAAATAGTCAGTACATTGAGGTGAATAGGCTAAGAGGATGGGTGTCTGATCTTGATAAAATTACATACTTGTGTAACCAAAAGC